AAGTTATATATCTATCAACTGTTTAATTTACAGCACTGTTGACTACTTTAACGGAGCAAAGTTAAGGTCAGGGTAGCCAGCAATACAGCCAACATTTAGATTTTTCTAGAAATTGAGATTCATATTTTATTGTGGTATTGTTACCCTCATACAGCTGTACCCCCCTTCCTTATACAAAAATAATTATAGCACTTTATAGATAAATTAATTATCGTACGAAAGAATGAACGAATAAACGAATAAGTAGACGCCGCAATTCATGGTGTATTGTACTATTTTCTGTATTGAAGCATCTTATTTAACTGTTTTAAGATAACAACAACAACAATAATAATAATAATAATAATATACAAAACTGCAAGCAGGCAACCAGCCTCTACGCGAATTTTTCATCTTTTTCGTTTCAAGAAAGCATACACTGTAAAGTTATACTGTAATTCTCACCCCTTACTCTTGTTAACAAGCACACAGATTAATTTATACACTATCACGGTCATGATGTACTTAAAGGGAACGGGAACAACAGGATAATGGCATAGTCTCCATCCGTGACTATAGTCTATCTGCTTACACCACAAAAACCTGTGCTTCACCGCTCTCCAATGTTTTGACGTTTTAGCGCCAGAACTTCAATGAGGATGATATCAATCTTATATACAATGTAATGCATTTCACAACGCCAATAAGAACCCTTTTCTAAAATAATAGATATATAAATTGGTGGTTAATTCTTTAAAATGATGTCTTTTAAATGAACCCAGCACGGGCTGATACAGCGTAGAAACTGTTTTTTCAAATCAGCGATGCGGTGTTGACATTAGAGCATACAAGATGGTACCATAGACCACTGCGTGTGTACAATTCATCAAAATAAAACACTGGCAGTATAACTGGCAGTATCCGTTGGATATTATCAAATATGCCCTGTGCTTTGCTTATTGTTATTTTTTGTGTCTACATGAAGTAAGGCCTAGGGTATGGCAGGGGGTGTAAAGATGCTATGCGCCCCCCCCCCCCCTCCGTCGCCGCGTGCATCTTACAATGTATGCGTGACGCTAGTGTTTAGTTCATAAGCAAGTCAGCAGCGGTAGAAAACAACAGGGATATTTGTATAGGGGCATTGTATGAGCAGGCACATGAATATGTAAAATGTTTTGCTTATGAAACTGTTGCAAAAGTTTTTCACTATCGGTTAAAACTTACCTTTCTGATATGCTTCTAGGGTATTCCTGCCTTGGAAGTTCTTCAAAGGAGAAAACTGAAAATTAATCTCTTCTCCAATTAAGAAAATTTTTCTCTGCTGCCCTTTGAGAACGTCTCTTAATTCCTCTGGTAGTACTTTTTCCAGAAAATTGGCGTTCGCACCCACCGCCAAGCTTCTTTCTCAGGCAGGTAAAAATTCCTAAGTTTGGAAGCAAACAAGAGCTTACCGCTACTATCACGACAACGCTTTATCACGAGCGTCGTCAGGATTTGTATTCGGTAAAAGTTCTTAGCGTCCTGTCTTCGTTTTGCTCTGCGAGACGCTGTCACCTTCCACTACCCAGGTAAAGTGACAACCCAAGGACAGTCTCACTTGACAACGACGACACTTAACTGCGCATGCGGGGTAATAATTTCCGGATGCGGTGGGCGCTGAGCTTCTCCACGCAATTAATCAGTTTATTCATTAAACAACTCTTGACAAATGATTGGTTTGGTTTGTTTCCTTTATTATGGGCCGGTTTGTTGTGACGGTATACACTCGCTGTACACAGCGCTTGTCAAATCTTCATATCTACAGTTTGTTAATTTTTAAAGAGTCTTGATAGTTTTATTAAAAGGTCGGAAAAGTCTGTAAATACCCCCACACAGCTCTTCTGGCGCATTGGTCAATGCTTTCTGTGCAAAGTTAAAGTCTAGGAGGAAACAATTTTGTCCCTAAATATGCGCAAATGCCTGTCGTTATTCACGTTGACACTAAAATACTACAAGAAAAGGATCCATTATAGTTAAATGAGTAGATAGCGAAACAAAGTGTAGAGCCAGTCTGTTTTGATACATCATTACAAATGTTTGTAAACATGACATAATTTGATGAGAGACAGAAGAACTAAGATAAATCGGTAAAAAAAAAAACGTTCAGGGCTAAGCCTCACATGTGTGTATGGGCGTAATTACCACAACAAGACATTTACAAATAACTCTAAGGAAATAGATAAAGTGTGGTTTGAGAAAGTTATTATCGGAGAAAAATAAAACATATTGTGATTACACATGCCAAGCCAGTCCCATAAAGAGCTCCGGTGAAGCACACGTCTCTTTTGTCAGTGCTATTTACCGGTATTGTTGTCTAGCTGGCATAGATACCACATTTACATACTAGTATGAGTGTTATCGTGCACATGAAAAAAAAAATACTTCGAGGCATCTCGAGTACATATAGTCAATATGAAAATCATGTTTTTTTTATTTATTTATTTATTTTTTATTTTTTTTGGGGGGGGGGGGTGAATGCCGCAGAGCTGTCTATATTCTCTCGAGACAAGCCAGATGAAATAAAACTAGACCTTGGTGAATACGAATTCGATGTCAGCTTGCATGTGACATAGATGGCCTTGGGTTTTAACATAGTTCTAAAAAAGAAATTAAACGCACAAATTAAATTAAATTTTCACGACTCAGAGTTTTGTTGCATCCCATCGACAGGAGATTTTAAAGTGTCGATTTCTCGAAGTAGGAGTCTACGATGATTCTTAAAAATGATTGATCTTACGACGAAAACGTCCCGTACAGGTAGTGCCATTGTTGCGTCATATAACGTCATGTTTCTCTGTTACTCTGCCAGCACGTGTACGGGCACATGTCAGTGCAGTATATATGAATATGTAAAGATGTAGATGGCGCTGTGTATGAATAGGCTCTCTGTGCCTCACATAGCGCACAGTCATCAGAGAGTGGCGTGACGGGATGACATTTCTTTACCCCTCCACGAGACGTACACCAAACCTCTTTATCATTCTACTGTGTACCCAACGCTTCTCAAGATTACAGTGTGGAAAACGGAAACATAAACGTTTATTTATTTATTTATTTATTTATTTATTTATTTATTTATTTATTTATTTATTGTTTTTATTATTTTTATTGTGCGAGGAGTATATAAAAAAGACATATGTAGGACAAGGCGTCCCTTCACCTAATCCGAAGACAGCGCAATACCTTCAATGTCAATCGCTTGCGTATAATATAATTTAAATATCTTGAGCTTCTGTTAACGTGGTGATGACAAAGAGTGTATAGATACCGAGACAGTCGTGAGATCTTGCTGCATACAATGATATAATGGAGTGCTTAGTCCGAGCGGATTGTCAACGTGATTACATGTGCTACTGGGTTATTATTTTCATTTATATTATTCTTTTTTACGAATCAAGACGGTGATATCTGGCCGTTCCAGCAGCAAAACGACACATTTCCGAATTCCACCCTATCTAGCGCGTACCAGCGAGTCCACGGCAAGGGGCGACGTAAAAAACGTAGTGCGCTTGTTTGAATGGGTCTGTTAAAAAAACTTTTGCGGTTTTTTTTTTTTTTTGACGTGTCCGAACAGAAGTGAGGATTTCCTGGTTCAAACTTGAGTTTGAAACTTGAGTAAAAAGGGAGAAGTGTTTAATTACCTGTAACCCATGAACAATTCATTTGCCTAACCTTTATCAACAAGTAATACTTTGCAATTTCAACCTAATTTTATTAAGTAAAATATCTTACTGGTCATAGTTGTGTCCATGCCTTGGACGTCATGCTTAAAGCCGAGGGTGAAAACACATTTGGCATCCGAACTACCTATTTTGATTGATCAGTTAGTTTTTCTGGAAAAAGCTCAATCATTCAAAATAATAAAAATCGACTCTAAAACTTAAGTACCGCGGCTCTGCTGTTACCCTGCCCCTTTCGTGTTAACTTTAATTATTTTTTTGTGGCGCAATACCTTAGAAACATGTTGCCTGAAATTAGACAAAAGTCACGTATACCCAGTGCAGTATAGACAAGGAGACACTGTGACGTGATATATGACGCGTTATAACAAACACAGACACCAGTTCACCTGTAGTGTTAATTCTCGAGAACTCAATAAAAACCGGTCAGCGTCTTCGTACTGTATGTCACCTTACCAGGGTTAGGTTACAGCAGGCACGTGCCTCACTTGTCACTTTGAACTTCGATTATTAGGAGATGAAATTTAAGTTTTTTTTAAAGAAGACATGCGTCCGTTTTCATCTTTCAAAAGGTTTTGTGACTTATAAATAATTGATCTTACAGATGTTTGAGAAACTTTTTCTTATATTTTCTGTATGACGCAGTCAAGAAAGATGTGGCACCTGCACACAAAGATGTGATGAACAAAAGCATGGGGGATGCTATAATTGCATAAATAAAAACATAACAATGACGTTTTTACTTAAAGTTCACTTGAATTTGTATTGACTGTAAATATAACTATTTAATTCTTATCAAACGTAAATATCAATCTTTTACACCATTATACGATTCACCATCTTAGACTATGTAGACATAACCAAGTACGGAGTCAGTTCTCCCTGACATCCACGTGAAGCATAGAAATCATCCATGATATAAAGCTATTATAAATACTAATGTCTTATCGTATGACGTGATGAGATTCAGGAGACAATGTCAAACATAATCCAAGTACTCTCTGACTCATGGCACGGCAATTGTGAATCTGGTGCACGTGTCTTTCTCAGCTGTCACAAACACAATTCTTTACACAAAATGAGAGCATTTATGTTTTATTTGGGTGTGAAAACTATCTAATCGACCCTGCCCTGTACCAAGAAACCGCTACCCGCTCATAACCATCGCGGCTCAATCTGACAACATTTTCAATAACATTTGCTTCCGACGCAATCTGTGCAGCACATCCAGGAACACCTAACACAATCCGTGGCTGTTTCAGGTAGCAAAAACGAGTCGACCTTATGTGTCAAGCAGTGCGTGCGTGCGTGCGTGCGTGCATCACCTGCGTGCACGTTTTGCACCGACAACCATAGGCACGGCTTTATACGCCAGGTCAATGTCATATACAGGACAGATAATAATAATAATACTGATATGAGCAGGGCTGCTGCGAGAGCTTGAACAGTGGCAGAAGACACACTCAGAAGAAGGGTGAGAACCATTTCCCTGGGGTCAGCCTTGTCAGTGAAATAATTGTAGGAAATTCATCAACCTTACTACTGTGGTGATGCCAGGCAATGTATTTCTCCTACAAATACATTCCAGGTCACTCTCCTTGGTATATCCATGAAGTGAGATGCTGAGACCACTTGTTTAGCTTATCATCAAGTTTCTTGTATTATCGCCTGGCTCAGTACAGTTAGAATCAACAGATGTCTTTCTAGAATGTAGAACCCAGATTCTGAAACGTTTTCTCTTCCAGCTCTTTCACCAAACTTTCTCAAGCCGTCCACTTCAGGCACCTGTCAAAGACAGAAGGAAATGCTGAGCTCATCTTTCACTGTGGTTTAACTGCTAAATGTTCTAGGATTTGTGGAAGATGAAATATGACTGGATGACTAACTATTTAGAACAATTTTCAAATTACTTCACAGGAAGTGTACAAAAATTGAAAATTTGTTTAGTCAAAATGAAACGTGGACTTTTCAAAGAATGAATACTTTTTACAAACTTATACAACCTCTTTAATACAAAAAAATAAAAAAATAAAAAAATAAAAAATAAATAAATACACTACTCCGAAGTAAAGCTGGATGCTTTAATGGCTGACTGAGACTTAAAAAAGTTAATTAAAATATGTAAATAAATACATATAATAATAATAATAATAATAATAACTGAATAAATAAATAAAATATAGTTACCTGGTATCTTGATGTGTTCCCAGACATCGTACACAGCAGTAGCGGGCACCACAGGGTACACACTTGTAGTTAGATGGTGATGTGACACAGTTAAGGAGCATAGAACTTCCAATGGTAGAATATGGTAGAATATGGTAGTGTGACAGCAATGGTAGACCTAAGAATAGAAGTCTGGGCTCCTATATGATTAGTACAGGTTAGGGTCAGTTGGAGTATTGGGGTTGGTATATGGGATGAATATCAACTGTACAAAGTAATGGCTGGGGGGGGCAGACTGCAGTTCTAAGTGCACTACCATTCCTGTTACACTGGCAATATGGTTCTTGAACCAAGGTCCTTTAAAACATATCTATAGCTAGTTAAAACTAACCCTGTGACAAGTATTACATAATTAAGAATATGGTGTTTAAGGTAAGGTCTCTTGTAATAGCATATGACACAAGCCCTACACCAGCTGTCAAGATCTGATAACACATTCTTCAGGGGTGGATCGAGGCCGTCTTATGGGTCTTCAGGAAGCTGGTCAGATTTTCAAATTAACATTGACAGGTATCTTTTTTTCTGTTGGAAGACAATCAATAATGGAAGATGGCTCAAAAAGATAATTTGGAAGAAAATATGTCTGGATCTGTCCCTGTTCTTCAGCATGTCATAGTATAAATTATCACTCATCTGAAGTAGATCAGGCAGGGTAGATATTTGGGTACCCCCTTGAAAACAAGAGTTATCTTATATTTATAAATAGAAATTAACAGCATTTTTCATGTCAAGGATATCCACAGACAGCACAAAAATGTCGCTCAGGAAACTGTGACGGTGGAACTTGAGCTGAGAAGTAGTTTGGCTCCTCTGTATTGTGCTGAATTAGGAAATAAATGAAAGCATTTTAAAATAAATATTTTTAAAAGGGTGAAATTGTGAAAAAATATCCACTGCCAAGTTGTTCAACTTTTTACAGCTTAAAAATAAAAATCATACCCATTTTTGAAATTTATTAGTCAATTTCAGACAAGTTCAATACTTAATATATTGGTTAAAACCAAGCTGACTTCATAGGTACTGAAATACAAAATTTTTCTTTCATTCTAAGGCAATTCTTAACTACTTTCTAATGTCTAACATTTTCAAATTACAAGAAAAAGAAGAAAATGAGCATTACCAATACACTATAACTTCCTATTAAACTCAGTAATTATAACATATCTATAACTAAGAAACATACCTCTTCTTCCAATAACGAAGCAAAATTTTTCTTAAACCTAAATTTGTAGACATCAGATTTGGACTTTCTCTTCTTCTTTGCTGAAAACAGAGCAAAATATATTAGAAAATGAACTGAACTTTGACCCCACCCCTGACCTTCCTTAAAGGTACATACGAACCGAGCATCGGTGGAGCGTGGATTCCCAGTAACACATGTAAACCACTTCTACTAGATTCTTATATGACTCAAATAAATTTGACATGCCAAGGAATAAACTTAATAGATCACTCGACCAGCCATAAAAGACCTTTAGATTGCTCCTTTCTTTAAATTTATGGTTGTAAATTTAACCTACTTCCGTGACCTACTTCCCTGCCCCATTGACATACAGCTAAGAATGCCAGCAGAAAAATCTGTTCAAACATCATTTTCGGGTAAAATTAAACAATGCCTTTTGGTAATTCTCTTAGTTATACTACTTGGAACTATATGCTGGCATTTGGTTGGTTTTTGTGACAAAAAATTGACTTTGTATGCATCTTTAAGCCTTGTATTTCACCGTCCTCAACATAAAGACGGTACTTGAAGTATGGTCATGAACACAGCTGAACTTACGCATTTTATCATCCATGGACTCCTCAAACTTTGGCGCTCTCTTGCTCATCTTCAGGTCGGCATGGGGATCATCTTGGAAGTTGTCGCTCTCCAGCGCCTCTAGTGCCTTCCTCAGTCGACGTCTTCTTGCAGCCTCATCCAGAACTCTCCTGGAGTTAATGTCCTTGAGGCGGTCTGGGTGCAGAATTGAGAGGAAATAGAGAATAGGTTATGAAAACTTAAAGCATGCAATGATAATTTATTTTTTAAAAGACTGCAACCCAGTCCGTTGCAGTTCTGCATAAGATAAAATTCATAATTCAATGGACGCCTGGTCATTTTGGTCCTGCTGTAGTGCCAGACGCAGGGTAGAACCGTCCGGATAGCTCAGGTGGTAGAGCACTTACCCTGTTAGCGAGAGGTCCCGGGTTCGATCCCTGGTCTGGCAGGTGACTTTTACACTCTCACAAAAAATGCATTACACTGCTGCAGACTGGGTGTTGTTGCTCTTGAGATTGATCAATGTTTCTGCTATTAAAAGAATTAGTCTTTTTTACTTTTTTCTATGAAACCTTCAAGCTCTACCAATAAAATAACAGCAGATTTTCACCCATCTGGTGGCTGTCACAATCAGTGCTGGAGACCATACTGTACAATGTACTAGTATGAATTAATATTAATATATTTTGGATCGCATAAAGTTTCATGTAAAAACATCTATTAATCGGTATTACTATAGTTGTTTCATTTGAGAAGCTAATACTGAGTCACCGTATAACATCACTTAGAAAAGAATTGAATGTGAATCATCAAATGTTAGAGTTATATGGTGGGTGAGCGTGAGTGCCCTTAGGGTTTTCAAAATGTCCACGAGATGGAAAATTCGGACACAAAAATCTCTCCTGTGCGTGCGTATAACACATGTTTAAACAACAATACCTAAATGTAAGCCCGATTACATCCCCTGATGCTTAAAATACATTATACAGATAACAATCCCTCGCCGGAAAAAGTGTATTTTGTAAAAGTGATGTGAAATCAACAAACCTGACACACGTTTGTCCGCCATGTTTATACAATCCAAGATAAGCCCAATACAAACCTAATCGCATATCCGGCTGCATTAGGATTGTTTTTTTTTTGCCTGCTTATTGACTGCAAAAGCATTTTGCAGTCTTATTGGTCGTCCCAACGTTGCGGCAGCATATGGTTATGCGGGCAGGCTGGCGTTCAATTTGCAGTTATTAGTGTCAAAACGCGACGTGAAAAGGAAAGATTATACTTATTCTTTTGTCAATGAATGCGTGGTGTGGTGTGCAAAAAGCGTCTTTAGACGTTGTGCACTCGGCACTATTGACTAGGCCCTACTTGTATTTTAGAGGCTAGCAGTTGAATAGGCTGCATAGCTCAAACGCTATCGCCTTCGCCCTATCACGTAAGCGGGAGGGCCCGGGTTTGACCCCTGAAATCGGCCGCAATTCTTTTTGCTTTATTTTGTTTCTTTATTCTATTTTATGAAATAGACTAAAAATATGGTAATCGTTTAAATTTAACATGAATAGATGATGAAATGAATTAAATGACCCACTGCAAAGCAAACAAGCTAAAAGGTAGGTGAACTGTTTTATGTTTATTTTAATTGTCAGGCCTACCCAACTACCAGACTCAGCACCGAATGATCCTGAATTCACCGGTAAATCGGACCACACTACCCGTTTTCAAGGTGTGTATCAGTACGCATTACACAGTATCAGACGCGACACCGCTCTTGCCTAGTACGCGATGTGATAGTGACGATTCTCAGCGGGGTTGAAAAGCATTGCATCACCACTCAAAATTTGTTCAGGGTATGATACTGTGTAATGCGTACTGACTCACACCTTGAAAACGGGTAGTGTGGTCTGATCTACCGGTGAATTCAGGATCATTCGGTGCCGAGTCTGGTAGTTGGGTAGGCCTGATTGTGTATTCATGGCTTTTACCAAAAGGTACAATTTTAATGGATCTTACGAAAAGGTAGGCCTACAACTTAAAAATATAATATGTAGGCCTACAACAATGACACGGGGATTTATTATGTACAGAGTAAATAGGCTACTTAAAATATATTATACAGCTCTCAGACATATACTTTGAACATTTGACAGTGTTAGACATAGAGTTTTTGAAAGGTGTAAGTATAGTATGTTAAAAATACACATGCATTACTTATTGTTAGTTAACCTTTTGAAGCCGTGGTGCGCTGGTAATGCTTCTCAGTATCCTCTCTTTTCTTCAGGAACATATGTCAGGGTTATTGTGCTATTTGTAGAGTTGACAAAGATGAAAGTTTTAAATCAAAAATGAAATTCAGGTGGTATGAATAGTACTAATCACCTGTTAAAAAAAGGTGTCATATAGCATTTGTAGCATACCAGTGTGGGGGGTAGAGGTACTTATTTTAGACCCCCCCCTCAGGCCCCCTGTGTTGTTTTTAATATTTTGGAATCAAATGTACTAGGCAATTCTATTCACTTAATAATCTAATCCTTCCCATTTCAAAATTAGCTAAAATAAATATACTGCCTGTACAATTTGCATTATCTTATTTAATTTGTACTTCAATCTAAATACTGCTACATTCAAAAATACATAACAATTACAAGTAAATTGGAATTAAAAAAATTACAACCTTTGCATGATTTTCCTCTACGACCTATTTCATTTATTTTGTAACTAAATCTAAATATTGATAGCTTCAACACATTTGCAGTCTTTTTTGCTCTATGAGCAATTTTATTTATTTATTTATTTATTTGGGGGGTCAGAGAATGCAAAAGAGGAATCCATCCGTTTAATTGAAAAATCGGGAAAATGAGAAACAAGACAGCAAAGCTGTCAAATGTACAGACAAAAAGCAGAAAATGCTCTATGAGCAATTTTATTTATTTATTTATTTATTTGGGGGGTCAGAGAATGCAAAAGAGGAATCCATCCGTTTAATTGAAAAATCGGGAAAATGAGAAACAAGACAGCAAAGCTGTCAAATGTACAGACAAAAAGCAGAAAATAAAAACCCGCTCCCCTTTATATTCTATTCCGCCACCACGCCAAAACAGAGACCGTAGTATTTTCTAGATGGTGCCCCCAAATATTCCGAGTATCCCAGTTCTAACCCCCCCCCCAAAAAAAAAAAATGTTATAAAGATAAACATGAAACAATCATCCCGGATATTTTCAGCCTCCATGCTTTAGATATATTAATTAAGTTGATAAAAACATACACTCTTCATTGTTGTCTGTTGCCGATACCCAACCTGATCTAAAGCATGCTTAAATAAAATCACTATGACAGACATATCCGTAATTAACATTGCGACTTTATTTTTTCCTTCAAAAACATATTTACATTTTAACAGCGATTATTAACTTTTTAAATTCTTAACTGTGTAAATTCACATATTTGAAATAAAGACAAATATATTCAGGATCACACGTAAAATTACCCTATGTAATGAAACTGAGGGTTCATGTAACAGAAAGTCCGCCCTCCATTTAGTTATAAAGGTTAGGGTTAGCCTGGCCTAAGTTGATCAAAATCTAAGGCGAGATTTACCTTTCTAATGAATGGGAAGCTTGTATATGTTTGTGTTAAACAAATCTGATGTTTCTGTCTTGCAGCTCCGTACTACCTTGACTCTCACTGTACTTGCTCTTAGGCGCAGTTTGCATACACTTGAACATATGTTAATTCTCTAAGGAGTTTTATTCTGAACAGGTTCATAAAACGCACACGTTACAAAAAATTCTACATTTGCTAATACTCTTAATGCATTTGATTCTAACTTTAAGTCCGTAGACAGTTTGATTGCACAATTTCACCGTTTTCTGAGTTCCAAACAACAGACAGCCCTTTCTATAGTGTGCCCATCATTTACTAGAAAAGTGCCGTATTCCCATAAGAGTTCAGGAATCTTGAGCTATCCTATCTATGGACGTGTTCGTATTTCAGTCTATCAGCACGTGCCATGCCCACACGTGACTGTCACGAGGTGTGTTTACATCATTTGTTCACATGTAACATGGTTGGGGGGGGGGAGTTGAGATGTTTGGTATAACAGCTGCTATGGCAGGAAAACATCCACTCTGAATCAAATGTTGACGTACATATAGGTGCTAAACAAAAGTCCCACACAAAATAAACTATAAGCCTATATTCCCATAAAAATGACTGCATAAAGCTCCAACTATATGACGTCATCCACTATATGACGTGATCCACTATCAATGTGTCAGCGTTGTATATATATATATATATATAATTTTTTTGTCTTTGTCATCTTTGTCTTTAAACCCTTTGTCCTCTCTGAACCCAAAGTTTACAAAGGTTTCATATGTTCCATTCCTTTGGTTGAGTAACCCAAAAAAGTAGACATTTGCTGTCTTCGCCCTTGGTTTAACTGAAGGGGTCAACCGGGAGTTCACTTATTTCCTTCTTCTTCTTTTTTTTCTTTTTTTTTTTTTTTGGGGGGGGGGGGTACCCCCCCTTTGAAGCTGCTGGTTAAACGTCCATATTCTGCGGTAAGATGCTGGCATAATCCGAATACTGATTCTCTTGGGTCCCCTCATAAATATTATCTGCTGTAAATGATAGGTAATCACTTTGAATATGGTCGAACTCCCAATCGGTTGACACACGAAGATGTCCTTTAGGTGATTTAGGAGGGAGAGGTACCGGACGGTCGGAAAACGCGGGGTTGAAGCGAAGAACACGTAGACTTTGTGGGTCAGGTGGCGGTGTTCTGAAATAAAATTCACAAACGAACGCCACTTTTATCCTATCTTCAAGAAGAAAGGATGATAAGAAATTATTCACAAGAAAAAAGTCTGCGATTGGAAATATACAAACTAAAGCAAGAAAATACATAGTAAAAAATATAGATGAATAAATATAGAAATGTATGAATGAAATATTACATATATACAAAACTTTAAATAAGAGAGAGAGAGAGAGAGAGAGTCTGTACATGTATGTGTGTGAAAGAGAGATACATGTACATTTATTGTACCTTCGTCTCCTAAGAAACAGTCGTATGATGACCACCACCAAAATTACGGTGACCAACGGTGTGGACACTGCGACACCAATTACCAGCGGGATGCTTGCCGTGTCCTCGCCATTCCCTCCTGGAATAACAAAAATAACAATACTGTTTGTGAAATCTTTGGAATTGACGAAGGGGATTTCACGATTCCAGTAAATGTCTTACAAATGTGAAGATTTTAACAATGCATGGATTTCTCGCAAAAGCAGGAGACAATTAAAAACGTAGATCTCTTTTACCAAAAATTTGAGGCTTCTTGCAAACTGTTTCCTCAAATTTGCAGCAAATCTGCAAAAACGAGTTCTGCTCTGCAAATGAGATACTGTTTAGACTTGAGAAGATACGAAGGCTTCTTGCAAACGTCTCGCAAACTTTAGATGCTCTTGCAATTATGCAGCAACATTTTTCCTTGCATCAATCTGCAAACAGTTTAGTTTGTTGCAAATTGCCAGCACGTTTGCCGCAAAATTTTCACTTTGCTAAGTGGGCTTGTTCCTCTGTTTCTCCATGAATGGGCGGTCTCTATTTCAAAGCCACCTTTAGAAGATAAAACGATCTTTCTATAAAGTTTAATTCAATACCAGTTAAAGCCATCAACTATTGTATATTATAATTATTTTTGACCTTTGAAAGTCATGCTACCTGCGTCATTTTCAGCTCCCTCTATTCTAGTTGGAATAACATTCGGGATGGTAGACGCTAGTGTAACTGTGGGAGGCGAGGCAGGGAATGTCGTTGCGAGGGAAGTTGACGAAACGAACGTGGTGATCGGGGTAATGGATGTCGTTGTGCCGGTGGTGGTAGTAGGCGTGGTAGACGTAGTAGAAGTCGTAGTAGGCGTTGTCGTTGTAGTTGGCGTAGTGGTAGCACTAGTGGTAGTAGGCGTAGTGGACGTTGTCGTTACCGTAGTAGTCGTTGTTGGTGCAGTGGTTCTTGTAGTAGGCGTAGTAGTCTTGGTGGGCGGTTTTGTTACAACAGGAGTTGTAAAGGTGTTGGAAAATGTCGTCGAAACGCATGCGGATTCCCCATCTGGACATGCGCACGTTCTGCCGTTGGGTTTTGGTAGACACAGGTATGGACAACCCCCATTGTTTACACTGCAGCCGTTCGATCCTACAATACATATTTGCCAAAGCAAATAATGCCGTAAAGTGCAACAAGACGATAACTCTATGTAGTGAATGTAGTCGTTTAAGATGTCATTTGATAAAATGTGGCGATATATAAGGACATGAAATGATGTGCAATGATATATGGATATAGACGCAATGTTGTATACCAGTATGTATCTTTGGTACATGTGCATCATCTTTGTGACACGCATCTTATTCGCATAAGAATACTGGATGCTTAGCTTACATCGATTTGTGACTTTAGCCTAATAGTAAAAGAGTTGAGAGAGCGAAGTCAAGAGCCACATATTCACTAAGCTGTTTGAGACATATACTGATACGCTATAGCATTCACAAAAATTGGGGCTGGTACTTCTACACGTTTTTTAATATGATCTTAAAAGTTACCATAAAAATATGCAGGGTGATTGATCATATTATTGAAGCCAGAGAGACTGGGAAAATTCTGAAATGTCTAAAAGACGTCTAAAACTATAAGGCTAAAATTGGAATGATACAACAGCTTAGCTAACTGTGTGCAAGGTACCTACTAAGACTTAAAATCTCCATTTAGAAAATTTTCAAATGATAGATTTCGAATTTCGCAAAGGCCTTTGTTGAACGGACTACTAAGGCTAAACTTGGAATGATGCAACAGCTTAGCTAACTGTGTGCAAGGTACCTACTAAGACTTAAAATTTCAATTAAGAACATTTTCAAATGATAGATTTCAAATTTCGCGAAGATAATAATAGCAAAAAGGCGAATTTTGCTGAGAACAACTTAGTCGACTACATCTTAGCCGGCTATTAGACCCCAAACCATTATTACATTTTCTGTGAACACCCCGTGCCTTACGTGATAAATGGTATGAACTTCTGTACACATGAACACCAGTTAACCTGGCCAATGGAATAAAACTGGCAGCACGAACACTCGAGTTACTGCCGTCGTGTTTGTTGACTCTATGGAACGCCCTGTTGAAATGTGCGTTATTAAAATACCAAAAAATAAAATAGAAAAGAAATACACAAAGGAATACAAATCAACTTGAGATAAATTGAATTTATAGCTGTATAGATATAAATAAATTTGAAAGAATTGCATTTGCTAGCAATACCAGCATTACATTAAAGGTGTAGTCTATATTAAATGAGTACACCGGGTACTGTGCCAATCCAGGTTAGATTCACATTCAGGCATATTACAGGCATGTTAATTAAGATAACACAATTTTACAAAAAATTCAATCCAGAAAATTTCAATAGCAGATGTTTTAAACGGAAATGTCGTACCAGACATTGATTTTCCAATCAGTGAAATAGATCTGCTGGTCGTCCACGGCAATGCCATAGTAGTGACCACCAAGAGTATCTTCCGCTTCGATCAAAGACCGTCTGTTACTTCCATCTGGGTCGGACACTTCAATTTTGGAATAATTTCCATCGCACCAATAAAGTTTCTGTTCTGTAAAGCAATATCTCAGGTGTTTGTGTAAGTTTTAAATCAAGAATTAAGAAAAACGGTTTTGGGCCTTGAATTTACAGAATATATTTCGCAATCATTAGAAAATAAATAATATCTAAATTATGAAACAATAACATTTTAATAAAACATTATACAAGTATTTCTAAATAATCGATATTAAGAAGGAATTATCTTAATAAAACGAAATCTTATAATCCCATATATGGCGCAAATCTCACCAGGGATGTCAATATCTATTCCGTTCGGCCATGATAGAGCCGTGTTCGCCACAGTTTGCCTGTTTCCGCCGTCCATGTGGGCGCGTTCTATCTTTGGTTCCGTTCCCCAATCCGTCCAATACATCCAGCTGTAACAAAGTATGGAAGAAACGTGTACGTCTTACGTCATGTAACACCATGCCACGAAACTTTACGCTGAACAAGTTTTTACAATGCATTGTGCTCATGATCTCCTCCATAAAACGTGTCATGAATATAAAAAATTATTGGCCCAAGTAATTTAGGCTTGGCAGCCGCTCATATTACGTTGCTAAATGCCATGTTATATTGTCTAGATGCTTTTGTTCCATTTATTGAGGCCAAAGAGAATTCCTGGAGAATTATCTATTTTGCGATGGTTGTGCATCTAATGAAACAATCACAACATTTCGACTCGCTTATTTTGACTTTGATTGTTTAGAGCTAAAACAGGAAAGGGCATGTTAAGCATAACATAAGTGCATATTTAAAAACAAAATAAGTTTAAAACACACACACACACACACATACACACACACACACACTAAAAATCAATTTCAATTTTGATAATGTCAACTCTAAAAAATTGGGGGAAACCCTCGTAAATACCCATTAAGTGGATCCAACGTCATCGCTCTCGGCATATCCAATCCAGTTCTTAATAAGATCTTGTGCTGGGAGCCGTCCAATCTCATCACACCAATGGTTTCATACATGCCCTCGGTGTAGTACAATAGGCGGGAAATATGGTCGACTGCAACAGCGTCCGGCACGCTCCCTGAGAAGAGAAGTTTGACTTTTAACGGGCTCGTGGAAGCCTACAGTATTAAAGGTCTTAATTTTCTTATTTAAATAATTTAGAAGTATATGTTAGTATATATAGAACGAGAACAGAAATCCCCACATGGGAAGAAACAAGATTATATTAAATACTACAGAAATACTTGCTAATATTCTTTGTATACATGTATGTACACCGACAAAAACAACAATGTGTGGGAAAATGTTAATCGTATATGTTACAATTTAATTGACAAGCAACCATTTCAGGGTATACTTTTTTAAATATTTCAACTGTAAGGTTAAAAAATAAATGGTCAATCTCCATTTCTATCCTTATAGGCACTATGGTAATGGTATATTTTTCATACTGAGAGAGGGGGGAAGAGTACAAGTGTGTGTGTTTGTGACTTATAGGCAAATAATGTAAGGTTGTTTGTTGTTTGATACTGAATAATAAAATTGGACTTTTAAAATGGCTTTCTCTCTCTCTCTCTCTCTCTCTCTCTCTCTCTCTGTATACGTGTGTGTAAGCATGCCTGTAATGTAAAATCTGTCAATGTAACTACACCACACTAACCAATAATGAAATCAAAGACCACTTCCGGCTCTTTTCCATTCAGATTTATTCTTCTTATTTTAGCGAAGGTGACAACCTCAGACCAGTAAACCCTCTGCTCTATGGGGTCGTAACTTGCGGATATGGGGTTATTACACTGGGTATAGATGGCGTGTAAGTTCCACTGGATCAGGTCAGCTTGCCATATTACTCCGTTTAGTCTGTCCGTGAAAAGTAGGAAGTCATCGGTCACATAGCGACTGTGCACTAAATTGAAAGTATAAAGCAAAGAAATGATAAGAAAAAACTTGAAACGAAACGACGAACTTACAAAAAAGAAAAAAAAATCAATAGACTCCCAATACGAAAAACCAGACATTTTAGTATTTATTATTGAAATACATGTGACCACACAGAATGTGTAGCATTTTAGGGACCTCCTCATTACTAAAGCAGGTTTTCCTTGTATCTTGTGAAATGCTTGTAAAAAAGTAAATCAAATTTAACGATCATCAATATGCTCATTATCGTAACAAAAATAAGGTAACGCAGAAAAAAATAACATTTTCTTTTACCGTTTATAGGCAATACACACGTCTCTCAGCTAGTGCCAATAATATTTTCTTTATCACAGTCTCGCAGGTCTCTCAGTTTTGAAACACAGCGATATTACTTATATCAAATGACCCAGCGGGCACAAGTGGAGAGGAAATATTTTATTTGTCAGAGCGGATGCCTGGATTGTTATGCTGTTGCTGCCCTTAAGTGTCACTGGTATGGGAAGGATGTAAACAGCGGTTGGAGTATTTAAGGACGCTCTCNCAGGTATATTCAGTTAAACACAAACAGATCACCTGGGAAAATAAAGAGAGAGAGAGAGGTAAAGTGGTAGTCCTCTCAACTTTCACACACACACACACACACACACACACACACACACACACACTAAAGTGAATCTAGGGTAATTTCAAACGTCCATATCCTTAAACTTTCAGTTCAATATACCTTTGTCTAATAACATAGCATAACACTATTTGATCATGAAATATTATTTGTATTACATGTACAAAGTATTAGCAGTAAAAAAAAACATTACCTCGATAAGTTCAGCTACATGTAACTGTCTGATATCCATATTCCCTCCTTACATCAAAGTTGGTTCCCATGTAAGGTCTATATTTGCAATCTATGCACTACACATATCTCATAACAATAAGTTATTCTTCTTGCTAAATTTTAGTTCTGGTACTTTATATCTCTTCCTTTATCCAATTATCACCAAGTTTTTCCAGATGACCCTCTTCTGACCTTCAGCGTACAGATTCACATCTCTCACATGAACTGGCAAAGTCTGACATTCTGTATAATTATTTTGTGTTCTTCTCTCAACAGGTGCCCCAAAAATACAGTACTGGTACTTGTGGGCCAAGAAGTGCCTTAAAAGTGAGTCTGTTTCACAAAGATCTTCAGTCAAATGTTTGTCCCAACTTAAAAAACACTAATTTCTGTCTTCTTTGACTAGGGCAGTAAAGTACTTTTTTTACCATAATCCAGGCCAGTAAAATAAATTTTCCAAACTAAAAAAAAAAAAAAAACATTAGTGGGTAAATACTTCTGTTTTACCAAACTATGAAGATCTGCCTTAGGTCCAAATAGCTTGAAATATTTGCGTCATAAGTTAAACCACACTTTGACTGATGTCCTTATGTGAAACAAGACCAAAAACTGGACCACAACAGCAGATAAGACTACTGTGAGTGTACATGTGCCTCATGATTATATCTATCCCGCTTTTCTCCTCAGCATTGGTATATAGGGACCTGTGGCATTTCAGAAAGGAAATTAATTTCAGTGTTCTTAGAATGCATTGCGACAGTCATTAATATATACTGTCTAAAAAATTACCTTTGTGCAGCTCTGAATCTACTACAATCTTCATTTCAAATAACAAAGAGCTATTTTCTGTGCACATCATTCACTAATCAGACTAACTGCCATCACTTCACATTACTGTGAGATTCATGTTAACATTTTGTCTTTGATGAAAAAAAAAACGCTTGAGAACATTATGTCACAAAGAGAAATCACTTCCACACTGATGTGACATTTCAGTAATGTTTCAATCTAATAATTCACTAGTATTGTATGTCAACCACATTGGTGGCACGCCCAAATGTATTGGTTTCTCTCGTGCTCATCTGGTTTGTTGGAGCACTTGGCTTTTATTTTTGCCATAGAAAATATTTGATATTTGACTGGCATGATGTCGTTTGGCATATTTTGAAAAACTATATTTCGGCATTTGCTCTGCATAAAAAAAAAAAAGAAGTTGAACCATAATAGTGACACCATAATTTACTTGTATACTATAGGGTAGGTATGAATATTTGTTTTTCTGGATTTATTGGAGATAATATACTAATTCGGTCAATTGAGGTAATGAGTTATGAGAAGTTTATTGTATTTCCTTCTTTGAAATTTGATAACAATGAATTTTTGTAAAGAAAACAACAATGAGCCCATTTTTTACAATTGATGCCCAAAATAATCACAAAGTTCAAAATCTGCTTAAACCTATGCACCACAATGGGTAATTTACATTGATCAGAAGATTCTACAGTATCAAATTAAATTAACTGCAACTGTTTGTACGTTTTGGGGTTAAAATCCCCGATGGTTTGTGTGATTTATTAGACCAAATTGCAAGGATTAATTTCTCTGTTTGTTCATGTCCAACCGGAGTTTCTGGTATCTTAAAGTGCACTGTTCAGATGACTCTATTACAAATTCAAATAGCCAGGCTATTTAGAAGTTAGCCACTCAAAATGTTGCAAAACAGCATGCTGCAAAATGTGAAAAAGGTCATAGATCATCTTGTGATAAATGCTTGTATTTTTTGTGTGCTGACAAATTTACAAAATTATCATGTGATGAATATATTTGCAACCATTATATTCAATTTTTCCTCATTTAAATATATCAATAAATCTGCCCTCTTTCCTTTTGTTTGTAATCAAATTCAAGATCACTTTATTTCAACAAATCAATGAAATATGCTTTTTTAACTATATGTTCCTCTACATTTAATCAACTGGTATCTACACAGCAGCTATAGTTTTAACAGCTAATTTCACCAGTAACTCTGCGAACAAGCATATCAGTCTCTGCATCAAGCTCATAATCAAAGCTCACAGCAATAAAAAAAAGATGCATGGATGGAAATATCTTGACCTCATGCTTCTTTCCGTGATATCATTCACTTCTTTCACCTATGTCTAGGTTATCTGAGGTGAAATCTGAACAGAACCACAAACTTCAAAGTAAAAGTTATATACCCTGTTAGCCAAAATATGACTAAAACAACTTTGTATAATACTGGTTATTATAATATTATCCTTTATATTATGTTCATGGACATTATTAGTCTTCAGAAGAAGTATGATCATCTTGCTGATAATGTCATTTCAGTGCTTTTGAGGTAAAAGTAGTATTTTGGATGTCTTGATGTTCTTTACTACCTCCGTCCTTATCAGAAAAATGTTAATGGCATATATAAACTGTACATGAGTACCACTAAGGGCTGCAACAGATATTCTTAAGGACGCTCTCTCATATTTCAGATTTCATATTTCTGCCCTAGCGATTTTGATTAAAATTGTAAGACAAAATCTTCTTACCATATGAGTAAAAAATATGAAAAAAAAATTGGGGGTCACCACGTTCGTTTTCGAGAGGTGGCGTCCCGAAAAACGCTACGTTTATTACATTGCGTTATATGGGGATTTTGCCAAAATGCCCTTAATTTTGCTGAAAAAATGCAAAAATAAAAAATTCTGCCCTAGCGATTTTAATTTAATGTGGATATGTTATAGATCTTGGTAGACCTCAAAGAAATTTACCAAAAAATATGTACCACACCATGCTTGTTTTTGAGCCAGGGCTGCTTGAACATCGATTTTTATCAAATTTACATAGGAATCAATGGAAATTTCCAAGCAAATTTAAATAAATGTGTTTAGTATCGTGGGTTTTTTAACTCATACATTTATTTTGCTTCCATGAAAATTATATTTATACTTCTCTGCATCAGCCTACCAAATTTCATAAAGTTTGCTTATCCCATTCATAATAAATAGATATCAAAATGTTGAAAGTATCAGTTGGATTTCAGTATGCCTCATGGAATGCCGCCATATTGGATTTTTCAATCTCTTGTGACTTTTATCTTCCTATTGCTTTTTTCTCATTATACATTTTTATCATTGAGATAGCTGGATAGATTGTTTGCTTTGTATATTTTAATATACATTGTTTAAACAATGTATCAGTTTCTTATTACTGGTACGTTACATGTAGCCATATTTCTTGACAAACGTGCTTTGGAAACTAGGTGGCAAAAAAGTTAGAATATTCGTCTAAAGACATCTTTTGGTTATCAGTTTATTTCGATTTCATATTATTTTTACAACATGAAATCAAATAAATATATATAATAAATATACATACATTTTTAAAATTTAGGCATTAAAGACATCCTACATGCATTTTTCTTATTACTTTATACATTTTGTTACTCTTTTTTGTGTTTAGATTAATTTTACATATAGAAGACAATAAAGACCATCTAGACCTCTTTGAAATGACATGTGCAAATGCTGATGATTTTCCATCTTGATTTTCCCCCTAAACATGAAGAAATTATTATTATATACTAGGTATTATGTAGAATTTGCTAAAGGTTGAACACAGGATTTTGTTAATTGAATGGGATGAAATAAAAATATCNATACGAATGCGCTTACTCCAGCTGGTGGTACAATATCCGGAGGCGGTATCGCCTCTCTGATCCTCTAGTTTAAAATGTAGGCATTAATGACATCCTACATGCATTTTTCTTATTACTTTATACATTTTGTTACTCTTATTTGTGTTTAGATTAATTTCACATAGAAGACAATAAAGACCATCTAGACCTCTTTGAAATGACATGTGCAAATGCTGATATATTAACCACGACATCTTGATTTTCCCCCTTAACATGAAGACATTTTTATAAACTAGGTATTATATAGAATTTGCTAAAGGTTGAACACAGGATTTTGTTAATTGAATTGGATGAAATAAAAATCAAATAACAGGGATCTTCCTGGGTCAAAATCTGGCTGGGCCATTCTTAAAAAATGTGTGCCGTGAATTTTTTGTGATAATTCTTTATGTTTCAATATCATTTTTTATTTTAATTTTAATCATATTAAGATTAAAAACACTGAAAAAAGGCTTGGTGCTCCTACTCTTATCGCACGGTCCAGGATTATGAGATCAAAGGATTTTCTGCTCTTTATTATTGCATACATCAACTAAATTTTTTGACTCAAGACAACATTATAATACATTATGGGCTGAATAATTTCTGTTAAGTAATTTACAAACTAAATTGTCAATGATTGGGTAAATTTGGATAAATTTGGAACAAAGTATAATTTTACTTCTAAAATATACTGTTTATTTTCCCAGCATAAAAAAGGATTACATGTATTTGCATAAAAAAACTTGGTCCTCTGTTGTGTGTTTTATGGTTTTGTCCATTTGCACTTTAACAAAATCATTACAAGAATGACATCGCAACACGCCAGATGGGTGCACACCTATTGAATCTTTCCAGGAGAGCTAAAAATCGCACTATTTACAGGTCATATTGTTCAATAACATCCTTAAATCAACAACAAAACGCCATGAGTCTAATTATTTTAATTGACTGTGAGAGAAAAGAGAATTGATTTCACCATACAAAATACCGCAACCTGGGTGATCGTAAACCAATGCTGAAGAAGACTATGTCTTGCTACACACATCGTAACCATATGACAAATCTTAGCAATACACTTTGTGGTCAAAATACAAGCCCTTGTGAATGTTTTCTGTGAGATAAGATCATGTCACTGCTACACAAGCCTTACTAAAACGCTCTTTTCAATATCTCTTCTTCGCGTAATTTCGTACATTGGGGCATTTGTAAACAAAGTCGCAGTGGGTACTTTACATCGAAAAAGACCAAGCGTTCATTGATATGCAACGCATTGTTGACATATTGACATATTCGTAGCGATTCGACCAAAATAACATCAAATATTTCATACAGATTTCTTAAAAGAATGAATTACGTATTTTATTGCATGTTAAAGTTTCATAATTAGCTGCTATCGCAAAGTACTACTTGTCAGCGACAGTTACTCAACTTCCCTACTTAATTAACTCTGCCAATAGTGAACGCATTCAACACCGTAACTGAGCAGTTTTTGCGTCCAGCTGCTATATAAGCTGGATGTTTTCTACATCGGAATGCAGTGCGGCATTGACACACTCCGACGACCACAGCTTGTAGCAACGACAGGCAGCTCGACAGCAGCAGTTCTCTCCAGCGCCTCGCACCAGCCTACGACTCCGCGGTCACCCCGGCGGCTCGACAGCAGCGGTTCTCTCCAGCGCCTCGCACCGGCCTACGACTCCGCGGTCACCCCGGCGGCTCGACAGCAGCGGTTCTCTCCAGCGCCTCGCACCGGCCTACGACTCCGCGGTCACCCAGGCGGCTCGACAGCGGTCTACTCCTGCTGCAATCATCGGCCCAAGACTCGACGGTCACCCCGGCGGCTCGATATCGGTCTACTCAACTCCTGCGCCACTCACTGCCCACGACCCAGCAGTCATCCCGGCGGCTTACGACAGTGGTATCTCTCGATAGCAGTCCAACCGACAGCGATCCATTTCGATTTGGTTTAATTTTATTTTCATTCAATTTTTGTAACCATTTATTCGCTATTAAATTATTTATTTATTTATTTACTTCGTTCTTGTTGCTTCTATCACCATCTCGTCCGCAACATTGGTCTCGCGAGCCGGATTTCAACACCTACGGCATGGATGAACGGAGATTGAAAGCCGCAAGAACCGGACGCCTGGCTGCCTTCACTAAACGTGTGCTGAAAGCAAGACAGCTCATCCATGATGAATCCACTAGAAAACATCGGTTATCGGAGATAAAACACGAAATAACTACTCTAAAAAATGAATGCGAAACTGCTAACTTGAAATACATCGACATTCTGGAAGAAGAAACGGCCATCACAGACGCCCAGATCTGGTTTGCTGACGTTGAAGAAACCTGCGCAGATTGTTTGGGAGAAATCTCCGAGGTTATACAAGTGACCAAGGAACAGCCGCAGCCAATTCAACAGCCTCAATCCCAAGACCCTCAAGTCCATGATGTTCCCGTCGCACCTACCCCAGCACCAATAGACGCATGGATTGATAAACTTGTTCCATATAGTGAGACTTTTAGCCACACCCAATGATTCAGACAAGTCCTATGAAGAATTACTTCTGAAGTGCATGTTCGAGAAGGATGCTCCGCGAGCCTCCATATCGCCATTCAACGGGTCTGCACTAGACTGGCCAAGGTTTGCTGAACTATTTTACGAAGAAGTGCACAAGCAACCCTATTTTAAGGATACNGAAGAAAATAAATACCATCTAGACCTTCTCTTTGAAAAGCAATTACAAATTCTGATATGTTAACCATGACAGCTTAATTTTTTTCCTACACATGGAGAAATTATTTTTTTACAAACAAGGTTTTCTACAGAATTTGGTAAAGGTTTCACACAGGATTTAGTCAATTGACTGGGATAAAATAATAAATCAGAAAAAAAGGATTTTCTTCACTTTCATCATTGCAAAAATTAACTAAATTTTGTAACTCAAGACTATCTTTTAATGCATTATGGGCTGAATAATTTCTGTGAAGTAATAAATTTACAAACTAAAGTCTCTTGTTTATGATTGGGTAAATTAGGATAAAGTTGGAATAAAGTACACTTTATCTTCTAAAATATACTGTTTATTTTCCTAGCATCACAAAAGTATTACATGTATCTGCATAAAAACCCTTGGTCCTCTGTGGTGTGTTTTATGGTTTTGTAAGAATGACGTCGCAACACGCCAGGCGGGTGCACACCGGTTGCATCTTTTCTGGAGAGCTGAAAATCGCACTGTTTGCAGGTCATATTGTTCAATAACATACTTAAATCAACAACAAAACGCCATGAGTCTAATTATTTTAACTTATTGTGAAAGAACAGAATTGTTTTCAGCATACAAATCACGGTAACTTGGCCCTGGGTGATCGGAAACCAATGCTGAAGAAGGCAATGTCTTGTTGCACACATCGTAACCATATGACAAATCTCCGCAATACACTTTGTGGTCAAAATACAAGCCCTTGTGAATGTTTTCCGTGAGATAAGATCATGTCACTGCTATACAAGCCTTACTAAAACGCTCTTTTCAATCCCTTCTTCGCGTAACTTCTTACATGCGGTATTTGTAAACAAAGTCGCAAGTGGGTACTTTACGTCGTAAAAGACCAAGCGTTCACTCATATGCAACGCATAGTTGACATATTCGTAGCGCTTCGACCAAAATAACATCAAAGATTTCATACAGATTTCTTAAAAAGATGAATTACGTATTTTATTGCATGTTTTATTTCCATAATTAGCCGCTATCTCAAAAAACTACTCATGCGCGAAACCTGCGCAGATCGCAAAAAAAGCTAATATGAGAGGACTACCTTAAATCTGAATAGGCCTAGCTATTAGTTCACATTGAATATACCGAAATTCATCGAAATTTTGGATTATATTTAACTAAATATTTTCATGTGGGCGTCTTTTTCTGTTTTTGAGGTGTAACAAAAACAGTTTTAGTTAAACTCTGATAAAGTTCGCTGTCACACGCTGTAAATCTAGATTATGGTCTACGTTGCGAGCTGATATTAGCAGATATAGCACTAGACTGTAGGGCTACGCCACGGCACAACCTGTATTGCGAACAATGGCAATGTGTTCGCGAGTGACGTTATCGTATGTCACGAACACGTTCTCTAACGTCAACGCTGCCTCGCGTTCCTGCTGCAACCGGCAGACTAACTTTGGAATCTGCAACGACAGCACGCTGATCAGCAGACTTCTTAGCCATGGCACCAAAGAGGGCTCGTTCTCGTAGTAGAAGTGCAAAATCACCTGTGCGCAGGGTAGCTGGCGGTGTTACCAAGAGAAGAACTAAGAGAGGTAATTTTTTTTTTCATTTATTGTTTAGTTTTGTTATGTGTTACATTTATTATTGGTATTGAAAAGTTACTAGAATTTCGGTAACCACTTGATAAGTAGAGCCATCTATCTGTTCTCTCTCTCTCTCTTTTGTGCAAAATAGTTTTAATCATTATTAGTTTTTTTTAACTTTGTTAAAAAAACAAAACAAAGCATCGATTTAAAATTTAGATTTGGGTTTTTATATATTGACTGTATTTGATTTTCTTACTTCAAAAAAAAATTCTTTTCTAGCCGCCAGACCAAAATCCCGAGTCAGAAAAGCAGCCAAAGCCGTGGCTAAGGTAATTTTTTTCGTTCGGTTAATATCTGTTATTTGAAAAATACCAAGAATAAGAACTTGCCTTAAACCCCCTAGCATTACTTACTTTATCATTCGCTAATTATGTTAACTTTCTTTTTATTTTTCAGAGGGCACGCTCTAGATCGGGTCGTCGCCGTAGCCGTTCAAAATCTGCCCGTCGCGCCCGTCGTAGTCGCTCCAAGAAGGCTGCAGCAGCTGCAGCAGCAGCAGCAGCTGAAGAAGTGGCTGCAGCAGTAGCTCCCGCTCGAAAAAGGAAAGCCCGCTCTGCATCCAAACGTAGAGGACGATCTGCTTCTAAGCGATCTCGCTCAAGAAGCAAGAAACGTGCCCGCTCCGCCAGCAGGAAGAGGCGTGGCCGTTCAGCTAGCAAGAGAAGACGTGCCCGTTCTGCAAGTAAACGTGGCCGTTCCCGCAGCGCCAGACGTTCCCGATCCCGCAAGGCCAGTAAAGCACGCTCCAAGTCCCGCAGGCGCCGCTCCCGCTCCCGTAAAGCAAGCAAGGCACGCAGGGCTCCACGCAGAGCTCGCAAAGCTCCTGCACGCAGAAGAAGAAGAAGAAGAGCAAGAAAGAGCGCATGAAAGCAGATTGGACCAACTCCCAACCCTTTTACTTTTTGGACAATCAGAACATGACATTTAGGCATTTAAACTCATCATATATCTAAAGACATACACGTCTATTCAGAAATAATATTTATCAAAA